TAAAACAAACAAAGACAAAATATTAACTTGTAGTTTCATTGGGAAAAATAAAGGCTTAATATGATTAGTAGTTTATTCATGCACTCCTTCAGTCAGTCATTATTTATAAACATGTAATACTTGTATTAAGTATTTATTATGTGCTAGACACAGTGCTAGTGGCTTGAATGTGAAAGGCAAGAAAAATCAGAGTCCATACCTGTCCCCGTGGAACCAGTAGGGACACTGGCACTATTTAAATGAAACCCTGGTCGGATTCCTCCAGCACAGGAGTAGAGGGAATGGGGAGGAAACCCACACTCAAGAGGTATGTTGCAAGAAGACGGGACGAGACTCCGTGACAGGTTAATAGAGCATGCAACAGAGAGGCATGTCAAACAACTCTCTTCTTTTTATCCAGGCATTTTGGTCTCTATCCCTTTAACAAGATTGCTCAATAGAAACTACAGATTAGAATCTCCTGAAGTACTTGAAGAAAGAAAAGAATGCTGGAGGTGAGAGTGCTACCTCCAGAGATTCTGATACACTTTGTCAGCATTGGTACTATTATCATTATTTTTAAACTGTCTCCACCCACAAAAATAGGGCCAGAATAACTGTCTTTGTACAGGATGTGTCTGTATTAACTTCTATTGCTGTATAACAAATTAACCAAATTAAAACAAACAAATTTAGCAGTTTAAAACAATACTCGTTTATTAGCTCACAGTTCTGCAGCTCAGAGGTCTGAGTGCGTGCCCCTGGGTGCTCCGCTCAGGTTTTACAAGACCTAATTCAAGGTTTCAGCTGGGTTGGATGCTTATCTGAAGTCTCTGGGGAAGAATCCATAGCCAGCCTCATTCAAGTTGTTGGCACAACCGAGCTCGTTATAGCTATAGGACTCAGGTCTCTGTTTCCTTGCTGGATGTTTGCCAGCAGCCACCTGTATCTTCAAAGGAGTAATCAGTGCGTTGAATCTTTTTCATGCCTGGAATCACTCTGAGTTCCTCTTCTACCGTCCTCTTTTTCTACCAGCTGGAGAAAGTTCTCTATCTTGTCTGATTAGATTAGGCCCACCCGGACAATCTTCCTCTTTCAAGGTCAACTGTGCCTTATAACATAACATAATCAGAGGAAGAATGCCTTATCACATTCGCAGGTTCGGGGGATTATGGTATGGAATCTTGAGGGCCATTTCTAGAAATTCAGCCTACCATACATCAGAAGCATCTATACAAGTGCTGGCACATAGTAGGTCCTCAAACGTACTTGTTAAATGGAATGGAACTGTGACTTTTCTGTGGCAAAGAAAGAGAAGGCATAGATAATCAAAGAGTGGCTGATATTGGGTCAGTTATCTTATTTAATTGAATCTAAGCATACATTCCTTTTTTAAACTTTTCATTGGAGTATCTCACACATACACAAATTTCCACAAAACTATACAGATATGCCTCCATACATTTTCACAAACAGTACACATATGTACAAACACCACGTGGATCAAGAATCAGAATATCCCCAGCACCCCAGATGCCCTCATGGGGCTTCCTTCCAGTAACTAACTATTCCCCCGCTTTAACCTCATATACACTAGGGGGAACCACTATCCTGACTTCCAATGCCATAGTTTGGTTTTGTCTGTTTTTTTAACCATATCTAAATGGAATCACACAATATGTCCTTCTTTTTTGTCTGGCTTTTTCCCCCCAACATTCTGCATGTGGTAGGCAGCCTCTAAGATGGCCCCCAATGATCCAATCTCTTGGTATCCCCTTGAGTAATTTGTATGTAACACTGAGACATGAATAGAATATGGCAACATTGAGGGGACGGCACTTCCATGATTAGGTAACAAAAGACTTCCATCTTGCTAGTAGACTCTATTGCCTTCACGGCTTGCAAGCTTTGATGAAGCTGGCTGCCATGCTGGAGAGACCCTTGTAGGAAAGTACTGAGGATGGCCTCCAGCCAACAGCCAGCAAAGAACTGAGGCCCTCTGTCCAACAGCCTGTGAGAACTGAATTCTGCCAAGAACCATGTGAGCTTGGAAGCTGATCCTTCCCTAGTTGAGCCTTCACATGACTTCAGCCCATCTAACACCTTGATTGCAGCCTGTAAAAGACCCTGAGGCAGAGGTCCCAGCTAAGCTGTGCCCAAATTTCTGTCCCATAAAAATTGAGATAATAAAAGGGTGTTATTTTAAGCCACTAAATTTTGGGACGATTTGTTACCAGCAATAGATAACTAATGTATATGGTTCATCTGTGTTGTTGTATGCAGTTGTAATTCATTCATTCTCATTACTTTATAGTAGGGTTTGAAAAACCTTTTTTCTGTAAAGGGCCAGATAGGAAATATTGCTTTTTGGCCTGCAAAGCCTAAAATATCAAAGATATTATGTAAGTACTTCTGTATAATTTTCACGTGTTGCAAAATATTATTCTTCTTTTGATTTTTCTCCCAACCATTTAAAAATGTAAAAACCATACTTAGCTCATGAGCCATACAAAGATAGGCAGTGGGCCATATTTGACCCATGGGCCATAGTTTGCTGACCCCTGATATATAGAATGGTTTGGTAATACCACAATTCACTTATCCAATCTATTGTTGATGAACATTTGGGTTGTCTGCAGTTTGAAGCTATTACAAATAATGCAGCCATGAGCATTCCTCTGTATGTTTTTTGGAGAAGATGTGTATGCATACCCGTTTGTTATACATGCAGGAGTGGAACTGCTGGGTCACAAGATAAGCTTATATTCAGCTAAATATTTTTTTTCAAATTGGTTTTCCAGCTTGGTTGTATCAATTTGCACAACACCAGCTGTATATATGAGTTCTTACTACCCCACAATCTTGCCAAGAGTTGGTATTTTCTTTTTCTTTTGGCCATTCTAGTGGGAACTATTTTTTCAAATCTTCCCAGAATTGACCAGAATTCAGCCAGATTTGAAAACCCCTGCTTAACCTTTATTAGGTTGAACCACATGAAATTGCTCTATTTATAGGTAAAAAAAAAGTTAAATATTGGCTGTTTCATATGGTTAAACTAATAGTTCCTTCATATCTTATTTACATTTATACTAAAAATGATACTCAAATTGGAATGCACATCAGTTGGGAAAGATCTTAAAGGCCTGAGCTTAAATGAGGTTTTAAAATTAAAAATGGATTTCAGTGATTCTTACATTTTAAGATCCTTAAAAGCTTGAAAACACACCAATGGTTTTCACCTTTGATGCAGCTTAGAATCACTTGTGGGTTTTTAAAACTTAAGTGGCCCTACTCAAACTCTCAGAAATTCTGATTCTGTAAGACTAAGGTGGGGTTAGGAATGTGTGTTTGTAAAAGGCTGATGCACAGACAAGATTGAGAACCATTGATATTGTCTGTCCTATGGCTTCCTTTTCCATTCATTCAATCTAAGGAAAGACTTAACACCTTGGTGATTCTGTATACTTGAAGGGGGAGGGAAGCACCTAGATTTCAGTTCCTTCCAGATTTTGGAATGCCTGGCTGCATATTAGGTTGGAAAAACTCTTTTACCCATGGCAATAGTGTCTCCCTGAAGAGGTCGCTCTCTACTGTACCACAGACAGAAGCCTTGGGTTTGATTCGTACACAGCTCTAAGGACTCAGAATTAAAGTATCACCAAGGGCATTTACTGGTTACACACAGGTACTTCTATAAATAGGCAGACCCAGCCATATTGCCCAAGAGGAGGATTAGCATGTACTTAGTGGCCAGAAAAGCAGGTGTGCACGTACATACTCAGAAACAAAATTGTTTTGTAAAACAAACAAAATTTATGACCAAGACAAAGAAAACCTAAGCAGTTATGATGGGGAAAATCGAATGTTTGTACTTCCTTGAGTTATTTTCCAGTCTGGTATTTTAAAGAATTATATATAGGGGAGGGGACAGAAGAGCTGGGGGCTGGGTGGAAGTGGCACCACATTTCTGAGCTCAAGGCCTTTAAAAATCTATGGCAGTCCTGAGTCAGATTTGTTCCCAAGGCCATTCCCTTATCTGTACCAGCCATAATTGCATCTGTATTTCCACGCAGGGGAAAAAAGAAAAAAAAAGTTCGGGAACTTCATTTTTATGGGTATTTACCAACTCTGTAATTCTATTGCCCTCCACGTGATTCTTTTTCCCGTCGGCTTTAAGCTCCCACACCTGGAGTTAGGACACAGGTTCAGAAGTTGAAAGAACACTAATTCTTAGGCGCTGTTAATTATTAGGCCCTATCACAGACCGCCAACGGGCTTCTCGACCAGGCAAGCTGAGAGCCTCCTACCTTGGACGCCACACAGGCTTCCATCACCTGACATCCTCAAGTGGAATCCTGGTTCCTAGATTTTGCTCCTAATAAGCCCTTGGGGATGATGCCTGTTCGGGATTTTTAAGCCATCCCCCACCCCTATGCTAAGTGTTCAGCCAGCTGAACCACCTGGAGGATCAGAAGACAGCTGTATCACCTGGTGGGGGGATTCTCTTAAACCCCACACATCCCAGGGCGCAGAGCAACAAGTTTCAACCGCACCCTGTGCAGCTGCTCTCTGGCCCAGGCGGAGAACCACAGGCGGCCGGTGGCTCTGCTCTCCTCACTAAATCGGTGGCCAAGGAGGCCAGCGAACAAGCTCAGACCACACCACCAACCCCGCCGCCTCTTGCCTCCCGCACGACCCCTGCCAGGTGCTTACCCCTTTCTAACTGCCAGAGAAGATCTCAATCACGGGTCTCTACTCTTAGCGCCGAACGAAACCCAGAGCATGGCATCTTGGGAAATGTAGTCCCCACTACCTCCCGGGGTCCCCGGGTCCGCTCAATAAGACACCCCCAGGAAAGACTGCTCTACCTGGGGCAGCTGAAGCTGGAGCTGCTGTCCGAGTGGGGAAGCGGGACCGCGCTCCGTGGAGGACTTGGGGTCCTTTCACGGGTCCGAGCGAAGGGAGGGAACTACATTTCCCAGGCCGCCTTGCTCTGAGCCGGGAGCCGGTAGCCTCGCTTTGCGTGACCGCGGCAGGTTGGTCCTGGAGCAGATGAGCGCAGAATATTTAGGAGAAAGCGCGAGGACGGGGGGAGCGCGGGGCAGGAGGAGTACCTCGGCCAAGAAAATTATGCATGCGTTAGGGAAGCTCTGAGAGAATGGCTGTGGAAGGTAAGGGACGCTTGGGCATTTTAAGCTCCCTCTTAACCCGCGCACCCCAATACACACATCCCTGACGAATCGTGGGGAACGTGGGGAGGAGAAGAAAGCGGGTGGTGGCGAGCGGGCCCTTTCCTCCTACACGTCTTGGCACTCACCTGAGCCACCGAAGGCCAGCAGGCGCTTTATTCAGTTGCTTTGGAAAGACATGGAGGTGCGCAGGACTTTAGGGTTGGAGACGAAGAGTGCCCCTAATGCGAAACGCTGTGCTGGAAATAGGGGGAAAGCCGGAGAGACCAGCATGAGGTCTGAGCCCCGAGGTGCCCTTTTCGTTGCCTCCTCCCACCGGGGCCGGCTGGGTGGCCATGAGGCTGGGGATGCTCGCTTTACCCCCCACACGTGGGAGAGGACCCCCACCAGGTGCGTCATCGGGAAGCATGCACTGCGATTGGATCGAGGGCCCCTCGTCGTGTGCACCCAGCAGCGGTGGCAGCAGATGTACGCAGAGGGTGGAGGTGTCCCTACACCTGTCTCTGTATATACAACCCTCCCGGGCTTAGCCAAGTTTACAGAAACGAAATGGCATCAGCCCAGGAAAAAAAGGACAACCAACCTCTTCGATTTGGGTGAATCCTTTTCTTTGAAGACCACCTTCCTCCTTCCTAGTATAATTTTGGCCTGTGGCTTTGCAGTTTTGGCTCTGCGATCCTGCCTCCTTTGAACTTCCTGGTTGAAAGCAGGGACAGGCCGTTTGTGAGGGATCCGAGTTTTCATTTCACATTCTCTTACCTTGGAACGCAGGGGTTTTTTTTTGTTGAGGGTAGTTTCTGGGGAAAAAAGACGTGGACCAGGTGTGTTTGTGATCTCAAATTAGAAGTCAGACTGAGCACCAATGATGAAATGATCGAGGCACTAAAGGGGAGCCTGTGTTCACCTACAGAATTATGGTTCCTGAGTGTGGCTCAGGTCAGAGGGGAACTGGGGTAGGAAAAAGAGGGCATGTCTGCCAGCTGCATCAGGTTCCTTGCCAAGGGGAAATGAGCCTGTTCCTTGTAGGGTGGAGGCAAGGAGCCCTGACGGCTTGCTTGCTTCCCTCCTCCCTCCCCGCCCCAGGTGAGAGAAACAGCTAATCTTTTTTTTTTAAACTTTTTTGTGTGTGTGTGAGGAAGATCAGCCCTGAGCTAACATCCATGCTGATCCTCCTCTTTTTGCTGAGGAAGACTGGCTCTGAGCTAACATCTATTGCCAATCCTCTCCCTTTTTTTTCCCCCAAAGCCCCAGTAGATAGTTGTATGTCATAGTTGCACATCCTTCTAGTTGCTGTATGTGGGACGCAGTCTCAGCATGGCCGGAGAAGCGGTGCGGGCGCGGGATCCGAACCTGGGCCGCCAGTAGCGGAGCGCGCGCACTTAACCGCTAAGCCACGGGCCGGCCCGAAACTGAGCTAATCTGACTCTTGCTCTGTCTTTAACTAGTTAACCTGAAGTAGCAACAACCGAGCTCAAATGCTTAGGGCCTATTAACTCAGGAAGCTATTGCCTTTGGGCTATCTCAGGTTCAGAGATCTTCAGCTGGCCGCTTCTTTCTATCTATATTTAATATATTTGGCTTTTCTATATATATATATATATATATATATATGTATATGTCTCATATATGTGGCTTTGAAAAACCAAATAACCAAAGACTTTTCCAAGTTTTCTTTTCTGTGCAAACGTAGTAATAGGGTGAGAATCTGGCTTTTTCACATTGTTATAGTTGATAAGTGAGACAAGATGGAAAAAAAAATAACTGAGGTAAAGTTCGTCCTGAGCTTGAGGCCAAGGATGAGTTGACCTGTTGGCGCCCCTTTGCTTCACTACTCAGATGACATTGATTATCCTGTCTTCTCTTCCCTGCTCATCTATGTCCCCAAGTGAGGGGCACTCCTGCTGGCTGCCAGTCCACAGTGTACTTGAAAACGATTTCCTGCTCGCTGGAAGAAGTATAGAATTAGTCATATTTCTTGTCTGATGGGTTTTTATACCAGCAAAGCCAGACCTTACAAAAACAAGGGCTTTGGAAGGAAGTATGCATGGACTGGGGAGAGCTTATTTTATTTTCTAGTGACTTATTTGGTTAAAGTGCCTTGTCTAGTAAACAGGAGATCCTGAGTTTGAATCACAATGAGGTCTTAACTTGAAGAATGCGGGGAGAATTTTAAACTTTGGCTGCCAATATGATTCCTATCTCTGGTCTTTGCAATGGCAGTTTTCTTGTCCTGAACTGGGCCCTTCCGGCTATTCTCACTTGGTCTTGCAAGGCTCAGGGAAAACTTCATTTCTCTGGGAACCTGTCCCAGCCCTGCCTTCCCTCTACCTTCACAGTGCTCTGCCCCAGTCTGTGGGAGAGCACTAAGTCTTTTTAGCACCTGTGCTTCCCTCTATCCTAACACTTAACACACTTAATCTCTCTCTCTCTCTAGACTGTAAGACTACAACCCCTTGAGAGGGGGGACCATGTACTCTGACTTTATATTCCCAGCCAATAGCACAGTACCTGACCCATGATAGGTGCTCAGCAAATGCTCATGGAATGCATGGGAAATAAATTCACGGAGCTTTTGTAACTGACTCCCTAAGGGTGCATGGGGCTTTCTTAGGATCCCAAATGCCATAAAATAAGGGACTTTTGAGAAATTTTAAGGTAGGGGAGACTTTTAAAGGAAGTGCCCCTCTCTTCAGTCTTTTGTCCTGATGCTCAAAGACTCTTCTAGAGCAGTGGGTCTCATCTGACGGGGACATTGTCCTCCTAGGGCGTGTTTGAGATATGTAGGAATTGCTGCTGGGGGCTGCTGTTGGTATTTTGTGCACTTGGGCCAGGGATGCCGAACGTTCTGCAGTGCGTGGCCGTCCCAGGCAAAGTTCCCCACCCAAGACCAAGTAATGATGAGTTTCGCCAAGCTCCTTGAGAAGCACTGATTCAGAGAATAAGGAATTTTGCTAGAGGAACTGGGATAGGAAATAGAATACGTATTACATAACATCTGATTTAGTTTCTGCATCTGGAAAAAATGGGCATGCTTTCTATGTCCCAGGACGGTTGTGAGGATTAAGTAAAGGAAAGGACTTATAGAAGAATGCCTGAAACACGGATCCTTAGAAAATGCTATTTGTACTCCTCCTATCGTTCTCCATAAAAAAACAAAACAAAGCTCTTCTACTTGGCACGTGTGTTTTGTATCCTGAATTTTCTCTTATTCACACCAGTCTTTCTAATTGGTAACAAATTAGAAGGTTTTTATGATGTGTAAACTGTTTTCTTAAGTAAGCTTGAACTTGTAAAGGTGTCAAGAGCAAGTAGGCAGCTCATTCATTTTGCTGAACCTGCAGCCTTGAGTTTAAGATGAAAAAGAGGTGCCCTTTTTTATTGTTTTATGGCTATCCTGGGTTATGTTTTCTTTTCTGCATTTAATTACAACGTCCAGTTTCTATTCCCTAGCCTGGTTGTGACCCATGTCTTGCGTTTATGGGCAACTGGGAGGCTTAGAGTTATGCTTTCCAGCCACAGGACACATTATGGTCTGCATTCAGATTGGGATTATGTTGGCATCCATTGTCTTTTTAAAAAACCATTGCATTGTAATAAATTACTCCAAATAGCTGGAGAACTAGGACCACTAGAGAGGAGGTGGCATGCAGAAACCGCAGAGTAATCCATTCTCCATGGATAGACTGTGTAGACGGTTGTGTCCACTGAGGCAAGGTTTTCTAACAGAAATGGATTGCAGTAGTATTCAGGGAGAGGAAAAAAGTCGATTCAACAAGGAGAGTGTTGTATTCCTCTCTTAGTCGAAGATTGGTGCTTGGCACTTAGGGGAGCACAGTAATTACGTCGTGAATGACGTATAAATTCCCCAAAGCAAGAGAAGGGTTCTCCTACTCCTTGTCTCCAATTCCTCTCCTCCTGGCTTCATCCTCAAGAGCTGTCTAAGAAAAGTAGGTGGATGAACATTGTATGTAGTGTTTCTATTCCAGATCTGCTAGAATAGCCTCTCTTGCATGGCAGGAAAAGGATTCCAGTATTCACCCCCCGGCCCCAAAAATTTTAAATGGAAGGCTCTGTGCTCTAAATGACATCTGTGTTAGGGAATCTGAATTTTCCATCCTCAGTGAACAAATTGGCTTATCAAATGGCCTCTGATAACTCATTCAGTGTTCAGGTTCTATAGTTTTTTCCCCTGTAAATGAGTGAAAAAACTGCCCATCACCAAAATATTGTAAGGATAAATAATAATAACAGTGACTGGGCAAAAGAGCAAACGAGATAGTCAAATGCTTGTAGCAAAGAGAAGCAGTGGTAAATGACGACTCTGCACCCTGTGGAGTTCAGAACTGAGTCACAGTGAGTCACAATGGGAGAGAAAAACGTCATCTTTGTTCCAAAGTGACATGGGTTATTTTTTCTGGCTTTGGGTTGGATGATCAAGTGGACTTGCTAACATTGTACCCTATCAGTGAACCCCTCATAGAAGTGCCTGCCTCTAACGCTGACAGCCCGGAGAGCAGAGAGAGTATGGGCTCCTCTGGTGGGACTCAAACGGAGGGAGGAGGGTGAGACCTGAGCTGCCTATGCGTTGTTCCCTTTCACAGACTTGCATGTCAATAGTTGTCTTCTCTTCTCCTGAGGAGAGCCGAGGAGACAGAGACCAGAAGTGCCATTCTCATGGATTTCTCCTCGTATGACAGACACATGGAGCAAGGAGGAAGATGGCTCTCCTCGTGCTAACTTACCTCATTTCTCCATTTTTCTAACCACATTTCCTTGTTGAGAGCATTGTTGATGTGCACTTCTCCTTGGTGGTGCTTTCTGAGGGCAGGCACTGTGTCTTCTGCCTGGCCCATGGTAGACCATGCATGACGCTTGTTGAATGAACAAATGAATGAATGGAAGACCGATGGAGGATTATGAGTGCGTCTGATTTCCATAGTAGCACCCGTATACCCACAAGGAGAACTCCCAGTTGTGTTCAT